CTTTGGCCGCCACCCGGGCAAAATTCAAAATTTCCTACCAACTAAAAAATATTAGGTGTGTCCCGCGCGCTCATATGACCTTATGCAGTTGCGAACGCCGTAAAAACACTTACCAAAACAAACAAAACAATACCTTATTGGCTGAGTCTGTTGATGACAGAAAAAAACTTCTTTCTTCTTAATTCAGCATACTTACTCGTACGTTAAGATTGCTTTGTGCTTCTTAATTCAGGACAATTACACAAAATTGCTATGGCCATATTGATTCAGAATAGTTATCAAAATTAATTTGTTTTAATTAAGTATGATTATATCTACTTAGTATTGCTTTGTTATTATTTTAACATAGTTATGTGTACATACAATTGTTTTATCAGTATTTCAGCATATTTACAGGTACATAGTAGTTCTTTTTCCGTCTTAATCAGGCATAATTTCTTGTACGAGGGGGGGGGGGTTCAATAAGTCCTTGGTCTGAGTATGAATCATGCTAGAGTAATGAAATTTCGTCAGCCATTTGACTATTTCTTTGGACCACTCCATGCAAATTTTTGTGAAAATCCGACAATAATAAGGCACTAATCAGCGTGTTTAAAGGAACAATGTACAAAAAAGTTTGTTTTTCTTTGCTGAAGCTGTGTCATGGAGCCTGGTGAATATTTCTCAGTTATCAAGTTTGTAAAAACTCTTGCTAGGAAAATCCCTTTCGGATGTTTTTCAGGAAATGGTCCATGTTTATGGTGATGTCCTCGTTTTAGTACTGTGACATATTGGGTAAGAAAATTCAAATCAGGATTCATGTCGGGGATTGATGAAGATCGTGAAGGGCGCCCATCCTTTGTGGTTACTGAAGAGAATGTATCCATAGTGAAGAAACTAGTTCTACAAGACTGACGTATAAATGTTAAACAGCTCTCAAGTGAAACAAGAATCAGTGTAGGGTCAATTGAAACAATTCTCCATGACCATCTTAACATGAACAAGGTGTAACCCCGCCTTTTTTACAAGTGAGCAAAAGAAGCAGAGGGCTGAGTCGTCCTGCAAAACTCTCATTCGAATTGAGTTCAATGACACAAATTCCTGTAAAAACATGGCGACTATGGATGAAACATAGATTTATTATTCTGATCTTGAATAAAGAATGTCCTCCATGCAATGAAAAACCCATTCTTCTCCCTCACCAGAGAAGGCAAAGTTAACATCGTCAAATGAAAGGCCATGCTGTCGCGTTCTAAGGATTGTGAAGGTACGAGACTGACTACCTGGAAAATGGGAAAACATTCACAGGAGACTACTTCTGGTGGGGTTTGCTGATAAAATTGCTCCCCGAATTGGTGAAAAAAGGTGTGGACAATTCCGTAATGGGGTCCTCCTACTACATGACAACGCGTCTGCGTACAGGGCACAACAAGCAGTCCAGACAGCAGAACAGTGCGGCTTTGAAATCCTTCCACACCCGGCTTATTCACCGAACCTAGCCCCCTCAGATTTTTTCAGTTTCCTGATCTTAAAACAAAATCACTCAAAGGACGTCGCATCCATGGCAACGAGGACGCCATTTAAGCTGTTGAAGACTGGTTAGGGGCCTATTCTGGGTCTTTTGAAGGTCAAAGAGAGGTGGAAGAAATGTGTTACTCTGCATGGAGACTATGTAGAGAAATAAAAGAATGTGTGCCAAGTTACAAAATGTATCTTGATTTCTTCATATTTAGACCAAAGACTCATTGGACCCCCCTCGTACATATTATTGCTTTGACCTTCTCATTTCAGCATAATTATATTTAAATTGCCTTTCCCCTATTTCAGCATAAATTCAAGTACATATTATTATTACCTTGTCCTTCTTCATTCAGCACAATATAATGTCACCAAGATTGCTTTGTTTTCTTAGGGTGGTCTTCACATTGAGGTGAGGGATCAAGGCGGGGCTGTTTTGAAGCGATACCCGGCTACGGGCCGAATGTTCGCTGATGATGCTGCGTAAGTAACATCTTTAGAATTGCTGTTCAAATCCTATCTCCACCCAAGAAACCATATGAATATTTTTTTGATTGTAGTGAATAAAGCAGTCTGATCTTATTGTGTTTTCTTTCTTTCTTTCTGTCTTTCTGTCTTTCTTTCTTTCTTTCTTTCTTTCTTTCCTTCTGTCTTTCTCTCTGTCTTTCTGTCTGTCTTTCTGTCTTTTCTTTTCTTTTTTTTTTTAAGTCAATGAAAACTCACTTCATGGTATTGCGTACTACTGAGCTCGGGGAGCTCTTTCCCCGCTGTTTTCCAATAAGTGCTTTTTAGTTATTCATCAGTTGCCATTAGGTATTTTAAAATCAGTTTTCCAGTTACATTCTTTTCAAATCGCTTTTCGAATTTTTTTTCTATTTCATCTGCTTCCAAAATGCAACAAAGTTGTTATTTAGTTGTTCTTCTGACTGATTTCCAGTTGCTCTGCATTTGTGGTTCACATGACTTACAAGCAGCTTTCCTGTATCCTTTCAGTTGTTTTATAATCACTCTCAAATTTGCTTTCTAGTTAAGCTTATGTCTCCATTGGTTTCAGCTGTTTGTCAAAATTCTTTTTTTT